TGCGGCGGCTGGCCGGGGTGCTGAGGTTTCCAGCGGGGAACTTTGGATCTCACAGCATGGACCTGGGTGTGCGTGTGAGCGCGCCCTGAGGCTTTGTGTACAACTCCTGCGTGTGTCTGCATTGGGATTTGTGAAGCTTCACCTCCACTCGTCTGCCTCCCCACGTGCCGGTGCGTGTGGATAAGGAGAGAGTGCTGGGCCCTGCCTGCGAATGAGTCTTGGACTTTGGCAGTTCTAGGGATTAGTTAACTTTGTGTGTGTGTGTGTGTGTGTGTCCGTGCATCTGTTAGGTCACACTGTTTAGCTTCCCATGGGGCGAGTGTGGACCTGGGGTGTATCTGTCAGGCTGGGACCGGCTGCAGATGAAGTTGGAGTGTGATCTTGGGGTGGGATGTGAGTGGCCCGGCTGATTACTTGTCTGTTTATTACTGTGTGTATGTGAGTAGCTGAGTAGGCATGTCCTTGTGTAATTGGTCAGTATCTCTGAACTCTGTGTGTGTGTGTGTGTGTGTGTGTGTGAGAGAGAGAGAGAGAGAGAGAGAGAGAGAGAGAGAGAGAATGAACGTGCTTTAAACTGAGTGAGAGGAAGCCCTTTCCTGTTTCCTCTCAAATCCTAAGGAAAAAGTTTTGGGTCCCTGTAGGATGAGAGATGCATGTGGGTGCCCTATGTGGGTGCCCCATGTAGGTGCTTCAGTTTCCCCTGAGATAAAGAGGGGCTGGGCTGGAAAAAAGACCCCTGGACCCCTCTAGGAGTGGCCTTGTATTGGCACTGCCCAAGGGTGTAGAAGGATGATCGTCCTGGGGAGGTGGGTGCCATTCCTGCTGGCAGCCTATGAGCCAGGCCCTGCACAGGGGCCCGTGGACCTGGACGTAATTCAGACACAGCCTTGCCCACAGAAGTTCACCATCACTGCCCTGCAGTTCATGGAGCTGAGGGGCTTGGAACTAGGGCTGGGAGAGCGAGGGAGTGGAGACGGACCGATGCCCTGGCACAGGAGAGTGAGTTTACAGGCTGTAGGTGATAATCCTTTGCGGGAACCACCACTTAATTCCTGGCTCCACACCCACACAAGTGAGGTGGGACTTGGCCTCACTTTGCAGGTTAGAGATAGTACTTCTTGTCTGTGGAGCTGGTGAGGGTTATCAGAGGGAGAGACCCCTGAGGGTAGGGTCCAACAGGTCGCATAGATGCTTGGAACTCAGGAAAGATGGCCGTGGTGGAGCAGCAGGTTTCCAATGAACACCGGGATTTGTAGTCCGATGAAATGCCTGTGTGCACTAAGAGAGGTGTCAGAGGCGAGCCTGATGGAAAGGAGGTCAGAAAGATGGAAATGAGGCTTCCTGCCCTGAGGCTTTATGGGTTTCATTCATTCAGTCATTCACTCATATTCCGTTTCTCTTGCATGTATGTGCACGCACACACACACAACAGTGGAATATTGGAGGGTGAATTTGGGCATGGGCCTGAGAAACAACTAGAACCCTATATGAGTGCAGACACACCAAGCATGTGAGCCACTCTACCTGGGGGGTCTTTCCTAGAGAGTGTGGGGACTTGGTTATATGAACCTGGCCCCTCAGGTAGCTGTACCCCAGAATGTCAGGGTGTACACACAAAGATGTAGTTCTGCTACAGGATCAGGAATCATACCTGCTCAGTGGGGAGGGGACCTGGGGAGGGGCCTGATGGGAGAGAGCACAGGTGGCCGTGGGGCCTGTGGCAGCCAGATCCTCCCATTTGGCAAGAGAAGGCCGGAATCTCAAATTCCTACCGTAAGAGCGTTTGCTTTTCATATACTGGCAGTCAGTCCACCATAAACCAGTCAGCCGGATACAAGACAAAACTTTGATGTGCCAAATGCAGCCCTCAGCCGTCTTACGGGATCCTGGGCCACATGCCGCTGTCTGTGTCCGAGTACTCCGGTGGGGTTTCCTCTCTTTGAAACAGAGTAGTCCGCCCCTCACCTCTGTTCCGTGGCTCCTCAAATTCATCCGCACCAGGGTCTGTCCCCTCCCCTTCCCGGCTCCGCTCCTGCTGCTTCAGAAATCCTCCATCTCAACCCTAGACACCAGCCCACCCTCCTGGCTTTCCATTGACCAGAAGGACACTGGGCGTTGACCCTTGTCATCGTCGCCCTGAAATCCGTTCTTCTGTTTACCTTCTCAACTGCCCTCTTGCCACCCTCTTCATGCTGGCCTCTCTGCTGGCACCACCACCCCATTCCCCCATCATCTGCTCCCAGAGGGATGCCCTGGACCCTGGCTGGGCTCTCAGAGAGCTTCAGCTCTGGCCCCAGGTGACCGGTGAGGCTCCTCCTTCCTCTCTCTCTCTGAAGGTCTCAGTCCCTCTCATTGCTTGTGGGGAGGTTGGGGGGCGGGGGCAGTTGGGGAGAGTTATGATCTGTCTGCTGAGGACGTCTGGTTCAAATGCCATCTGCTTGTGGAAGCTTCCCTCTTTGCCTCTTTGTTCCTACACCACCTTCATCATATCTAATACCCGCCCCTGTCCCCATCTCCCTCTCATCAGAATCATTTCCATTTGTTGACCTAGCCTGGACCTTGAGTGCATTATTTTAGTAAATCCTCACAAAATCATCCCTGTAGGGAAGGCATTTCCCTTATTTCCATTTAACGGATGAAAAAACGGAGGGGGCAGGGTGGTGGCAGTCACATGATCTGCCTAAGGCCAGGTGGGGGAACCTGGTATTTAATCTTGATACACTGAATGTAAACTCCCTCTGTTAAAATAAAAGCAATAGATAAATAGCCCAAACCAGTTGCCACTGAGTCAATTCCAACTCAGGGAGATGCCATGTGTCAGAGGAGAATAGTGGGGTTTTCCATAGATGTAGCTTGTCAGGCCTTTTTTCCGAGGTGCATCTAGGCAACTCCAGTGGCCAGCATCCCAGCTTAACCATTTGCACCCCTGAGGGCTGGCTATCAGAAGAGGAACTCACTGCTAACTTCCTAACAAGCCGATTGACCCAGAGGTGCCTCAAGAAGGACTTGGTGATCTGACTTACTCCCTACCACCCTCCAAAGGTGTCAGCCACTGCACATCCTGCGGCACACCGTTCCACTGTGGCACACATGCAGGGCAGGCGCGGGGTGGAGTTGGCGTGACGGCACCTGGCTTTAGTCATTACTCACTGAGCACTTGCATGTTACACTGGGTTTGACCCCCCACCCCACCCCCACCCCGGCTTCATAAAGTCAGGGGATGGTACTGTTATTGCCACGCTGTAGATGGGGAAACAGAGACCTGGAGAGACTTGCCCAAAGCCAAGGGTCAGGTGGTGAGGTGGGACCTTAGCAAGACTCGTTCTCTTCTGCCCTGTCTCCTCCGAGTGGTGGGCTGGCCCAGGTTGGGACCGGGTCTGAGGGACGCTGTCACCTCACAGGTCTAGTGGGGTGCCTGGTGCCAGCAGACACTGGGCAGAGGTTTGCTCAACTCAACTGACTTTGTGTTCTCTCTTCTAGCTGCCTGGGGCCAAGGGATGAGCCGCGGCCCTCCTTTCCAATGGCCTCGCCCTCTGGTCTGGAACTGCAGACACTGAGCAATGGCCCCCAGGCTCCAAGGAGACCTGCTCCTCTGGGCCCAGTGGCCTCAGCCAGGGAGGGCGTGGAGAACGCCTGCTTCTCTGAGGAGCACGAGACCTGTTTCCAGAACCCCAGGGAGGCCAGGCTGGGCAGCTCCCCCAGCCCCCCGGGGGGTGTCCCCTCAGGGTTCCGGTCCCAGAGGGACGATCTGTCCCTGCATTCTGAAGAAGGGCCGGGCCTGGAGCCCCTGAGCCGCCCAGTGGATTATGGATTTGTCTCCGCCCTGGTTTTCCTGGTGAGCGGGATCTTCCTGGTGGTGACCGCCTACGCCATCCCCCGAGAGGCCCGCGTCAACCCCGACACAGTGACAGCGCGGGAGATGGAGCGGCTGGAGATGTACTACGCGCGCCTGGGCTCCCACCTGGACAAGTGCATCATCGCGGGCCTGGGCCTGCTCACGGTGGGCGGCATGCTCTTGTCCGTGCTGCTCATGGTCTCCTTGTGCAAGGGCGAGCTCTACCGCCGCCCCACCTGTGTCCCCGGCAGGGGCCCCCGGAAGACCTATGGCTCCATTAACTTGAGGATGAGACAGCTGGACGGGGCTGGGGGCCAGGCCCTGGTGGGGAACGAAGTGGTCCACGTCTCAGAGACCAGCCAGACCCTCCAGGGGTCTTAAGTAAGAGGCCACCTTTTCTGGCTGCTGTTGCCCCAGGACAACAAGGCCCCTGAAGGGCCAAGCTTCCAACGGCATGCCCTGAGAGGCTCAGCGGAAGGCGTCCTGGGTGCTGGGGCCGGAGTCCAGGGCCGGGCGCAGGCCCCGCTCAGGCGTGCGGCCCACTAGTCTGTTTTCTAGCTTGAGGTTTTGCAGAAGGTCTTGGTTGGAGGAGGGCTTCTGCTGCTAAAAATACAAAAGTTTGGAAACGGCTGTTCTTGGAGGATGAGGTTACTTGGCATGTCTGGGAACAGGGAGCTGTTGGGAATGCTGCCCATCCCATTCCTCAGCGGCAGGGACCTCAGCCCCTCCTCCTTGGGCATGTGTGGGTATTGGGCGACCCCGGAGGGACTTTTCTATCCCTGACTCTTTAAGGTGTGGGGGTGGGGAGGTGGGTGGGGTGGGGTGCTGGCTTCATGATGTGGGGAGAAGCCAGCAACTGGTGGGACAGTTCCCTCCCCTGTGCATCCGTGCTGACTTAACTGTGCCCCTCCGGCTGCGCTTCTCTATGGCTCTGTAAAGTGAGGTAGGGGATTGACTGGCCCCTACAGTTCTGCCCTCGCAATGGGGCCATCTCTGCCAACAGCAAGTCCTCCAGAAGAGGAGGCTGCCCAATGGCATTCACCATTTTCCGTGCCATTGTCTGACCCAGCTGTGGTGACCACCACGATGAGAATGACCCAGACCACTCACCGACCTTCCGGCTCCAGGGCCCCTGAGCCCCTGGGCAGGCCGGCTCCATCCAAAGGACCCCACACCCTGACTTTTGGTCCTGAGGTCTAACTGTCTGAAGCGACTAGACCGTAGCACACATTTGACAAGGTCAAGTGTCTGGTTGTCACCAGCTCTGAACAAGAGGGGTCTTTTAGGGATGGAGGCGTGAGGGAGGGTGGGCAGGATGTTGGACCTTCATCCTCATCTTAATACTGTGTTATCTGGCAGCAGAAGGAAAAAATACAGGGTCTGTCACCGTGCCCCCTTTTCCCTTTGGCAGTCAAATGCAGTCCCCGTTTATTTGGGAGGAGAAATTGGGCAGTTAGGTGGACTGGACACTTGGGTCACACGGATGGCCATTCTGTTCTGTGTCTCCTATTGAGTGTTTCTAAGCTCCTGACAAGGAGAGGAAGTGGGCCTTAGGCATCAAGGGGGTACAGGGGTGTGTGAAGACTGCAGGGAGGCCTCATCCAGTTTGAACTGTCCTGCAAGGTGGCTTGTGGACACAGCTTCTGGGCCAGCAGTGTCAAGACCTCTAGAAGGGTTTGTCCCGTGAGCTCCCTGCCTGTAGCTCCAGCCTGCCTGTCTCCTGGGAGTGGGAGGGCAGAGTAGGCCTGGGATCTGTGGCTTAGAGAAGCTCTGATTAGCAGTAACACTAGCCCTTCAGCCGAGTGGGTTGAATATCTGGGCGATATAAAGTCACGGCTTTGATAACAGATCAAATATCTGCTCCTGCTGACAGGTCTTGCTGGGAGCAGCGGGCTGGAGGAGGGCTGCAGCAGACAAGGGCTGTGCCCTATGACCTGCCAGGCTCTGTTCATGGTGTCAAAGAGAGAGGGTTTGAAAAGAACAAAGCCCCCAAGTGGGGGGAGTGGACAGGTTGTGGGGGGGCTTCTGTTGACAAGTCAGTTTCTACCAGGTTCTAAGGAAGGCATGAACACAGAAAGTGGCATTGGCCATTCTTGCTTGGTCAGCTGCAGTAGACCTGGACACCCCACATGATGGGCTAATCTATAATACTATCAATAATAACATCCCTCCAAACCATGTGGATTACTGTGACAGTGGGGCCGGTGGGGGGGGGGGCTTGTTTGGAGATGAGACTCGTTGAAGAGATGCGTCTGGACCGTCAATTCCCATCAGTTTAAATGCGATGAGTGGTATTTAAGGACTAAACCTGTTAGAAGATTAAATCTGAGAAATCGCAGGTTTGTGCTCCAAGCCTGAGCAACCTGCTTTGCATCCTAATGCAGCCTGCTTTAAGGGATGTGTATAATGGAGCGAGGCAGTCATTACCTTGTCAGTGAATTAAGAAAACCCTGAGAGATGCCAAAAACATTTCCCTCATGACTGCAGCTGGGCTCGCCCAGTCGGCAGAGCCGAGGAGGCTTTGGAAGGACTCGGAGGGTTACGGGGATGGACTTGTGAAAACTTCCTCTGCAGGTTTCCGCGCGGATAGGCGGGGAGTGGCGCGGGGGACCATGCAGTTACTAGAATACGCCTTACCTTCACGCTATTGAGGTCCCTAAACCTCGTATTTCCAGGTGTTTGAGAACAGGGAGAGAGGTCGATTTGGGGGGTTGAATCTGGACGCTGCCATTTGTTGGCTGTGTGACTGCCACCTTGCTGAGCCTCAGTTTCTTCATCTGGGCAGTGGGATGACTGGAAGCTCTGGCTACTGCAGGAGACGGTGCAGCTCAGAGATGAGATGGAGACGGCTCTGTCATGGCTCTCTCTCAGGTGGTGCAGTGGGTTGTGCATTGGGCTGCCACACACAAGTTTAGCAGTTCAAACCCACCAGCCACTCTGCAGGAGAAAGAGGAGGTTGACTGCTCCTGTAAAGATTACAGCCTTGGAAACTCTAGGGAGCAGTTCTGCTCTGTCTTGTGAGGTGACTATGAGTCAGAATTGACTTTGTGGCAAAGGGTCTGGGGTTTTTCCCACCCCAGCTGGGGATCATTTGATTAGGCCCAGAATTTGGGGGCCGGCCTTTCTGCCTTCTCGATTACCTGAGGTCCAATCCATCGGCAGATGTAGATTCCAATTCTGCTTTCCGAATCAGACCGCCGTTCACTCTTGGGGGTGCCACTGTCTGGTCTGGCGGCATCTTGGCTTCTCTTCTGAGGCTCCTGCCCTTTCCACTTTGACCTCCCCTGGACAGTCAGGAGAAGCCTGGCAGGGTGGTCAGTCGTGCCATGCCCTGCTTAAAAAATGCCCTGGGGTCCTATCTCACTCCGCAACCCTCACTGTGACTGGAGGTGGATTGACTGTAAGGCTCGTGGAGCTGAAGTTGCCCTGGCCCCCGACTTGCTTAAAGCCCCATGTGGAGTTTTTATATTTACCACTTTGATTTCTTATTCAGGACCATGCCCCTAAATGGCGTTTGCTCTAGACCCCCGGAAAACCTGAGTCCTTCCTACTCATGACTCACAGGGCCCTCCCCC